TGACTTCTAAATAGCCCTCAATCTGTAGGTGGTTTGAAAATCTAGGTTCAAAAAATACACACTAAATGAAACACAATATGCTTAAAAGAATTAACAATACATAAATAAAGCTATTAATTCTGAAATTAAGACCCTTAAAAGTCAAAAGCTGGGCCAGCCCTGTGACGTAGTGATTAAGTCTGGTGCACTCCGCTTCAGCAGCCCAGGTTCGCAGGTTCGGATCCTGGGCGTGGACATACACCACTCATCAAGCGATGCTGTGGCGGTGACCCACATACAAAATAGAGGAAGATTGGCACAGATGTTAGCTCAGGGATAATCTTCCTCAAGCAAAAAGTAAAAGAGGAAGATTGGCAACGGATGTTAGCTCAGGGAGAATCTTTCTCACACACAAAAGTCAAAAGCAGCAATTCTACATTGTGATTTTACTTTCCAAACATCTGTATTGACATGGAATTATACAGTCATTAAAAAGTTTGAAAACATAACATTAAGTTAAGCCATGTCAGTACAATATTAAAATAATCAAGTGAAAGGTAGGGAAACTCAGGCAAATATACTACTGTCAAACGTGTCTCTCCAATATAATACCTCAGTTGAACCCAATCTTTCTTTAAAAATCACCCTATTTAGTCAATATGAGAATGCACTGTCTGGTCAAAATTAAAATTACAGGGCCTTATAAATATGCCTCTCTGGTGTGGGATGTTGATAGTTGGGGAGGCTGGGGGGTGGTCAGAGGGTATATGGGAACTCTCTGTACTTCCTGCTCAATTTTGCTGTGAATCTAAAACTGCTCTAAAAAATCAAGTATATTAATTTAAAAAAACTACAGGGCCAAGCAAATAATAAAACTGGTCAAAATACAATTCTAGAAATTTGGGTTGTTATTCAACAATAACAAGACCATGGCAAGAGATACATGTTCTGAAATGTGTGGAAATGTTAAAGCTAAGGTAATTTTTTACCTTCTGAAAGAATTCTTTGCATTAAAATATAAGCTCTGGATAATTCTTAACTTTAAGAAAAGAATGGCAGATCTGTGAAGCTTCAGAGAATGCTGAAATACATTCTAGAAGAGCTCAGAAAAAAAATTTTAAATGCAAATAATTAAAACTGTTCCAAATTAATTTTAAAAAGACTTATATGAATAAGTTTTGGCTGGAAAGATAAAGAGATTTTTCTGTTACAAATAAGAGAAAAGAATAAATGTGATTAATTGTTCCAATTTAATGTATTTGTTTGCATGTGTAATTTTTGGTGACTCCAAAATGCAAACACACCAATATGTTCGCCTGGCTTAATTATCTACATTCCTTAATGATAAAGAGAGATGGAAAGAAAAAAAGCGAAAAAAAGAAAGCTCTGCTTGGGTGCATCCATGAGAGAACCTCATGTACACCTCTCCCTCTTCTCCCCAGATAGGCTGAAAAAAGGAGAAAAAGGAAAGAGGCAATAAATAGACATAAATATGGAAGCAACCTAAATGTCCATCAGTGGATGAATGGATAAAGAAAACGTGGTATGTGTATATACATAGCGGAATATTATTCAGCCATAAAAAAGAAGAAAATCCTGTCATTTGCAACTACATGAGGGCATTATGCTAAGTGAAATAAATCAGACAGAGAAAGACAAATACTGTATGATCTCACTTAACATGTGGAATCTAAACAAACAAAAAACACAAACTCATAGATTCAGAGAATAGATTGGTGGTTGCCAGAGGCAGGGGGTGGGGAATAGGCGAAGGTGGTCAACAGGTACCAACTTCCAATTATACAACAAGTCAGTCCCGGGGATGTTAATGTACAGCTTGGTGACTATAGTTTATAATACTGCATCGTATATTCGAAAGTTGCTAAGAGAATAGATCTTAAAAGTTCTCATCACAAGAAAAAAAATTTGTAACTATGTATGGTGACGGATGTTAACTAGACCTGTGGTGATCATTTCACAATATGTACATACACTGAGTCCTTAGGTTGTACACCTGAAACTAATGTTATTTGTCAATTATATCTCAGTTTTTTTAAAAAGACATAAATAAAAGAAGAAAAGAAATAGGCAAGAGACCCAAGGAAAGGAAAAATAAAGGGCCAATTGCTTTCTTCTTTCTTGGCACTGGCAGTAACAGAGAAAGAGGCAAGGAGAAAAAAAATGAATATTCCTTAAAAGTCATGTTTCTTGTCCCTTCTCCTTCCCTAACCCTCATCATCACTGGCTTAAAGTTGCATATTCCATCTTCCTACTGGGTGATACAGTCTGGAGAGAGGCTGGTATGGTAAGGGAATGGTAGGGATACAGGTGGAACAGGAAACGCATTTAGAGTTCCATCAAATAAAGGATCTCTAAATGTGTTTTCGCACAGTCATAAACTAAACCTACATTCTACAGGACTCTGCTTCAGAAACATTGTGGCATTAAAAGGCTTTTGTGGGTCACCCTGGAATGGACAAGCACTTTAACATTGTTTCTGCAATGTATAAATAAATTACATTTTGTTATAATTTATATATAAATGTAATATAATAAATATAATTCATGTATAAATTTAACTTAAAAATCCATTTATAACTTGAGAATTGTATATACAGTCATGCGTCACTTAACGACAGGGATACGTTTTGAGAAATGTGTCGTTGGGCAATTTTGTCATCGTGTGATCATAGAGTGTACTTACACAAACCTAGTACAGCCTACTACACACCTAGGCTATATGGAACTAATCTTATGGGACCGTATACGTGGTCTGCCACTGAACAAAACATTGTTATGTAGTACGTGACTGTATATTTAAGAACTATAGCTAAGATATCTATTTTCTCCACAAGAAGCCAGTGTCAGCTAAAGAGCCCAGAACAATAATATGCTCAAGTAGGAATCAGGACCATGAAGACAGAAAACAAATGTTTTTAATTCAGCAGAACGGGGTAACAATGAAAAATACTGCTTTAGGAAGGAAAGCCAAGACTACCCTACAAAGAGAGAATGCAATCTACCTGTAGAGATAAGGACCTTAGACTAGAAATATTTTAGAGTGCATTGGATAAAGGGAATTCACACTACAGAAGAATGGTAAACAAGACTAAGCTATATTCTGTACTTACTCCATGCACCTATCTTGCTTTTTATAGTTCATTCTTCTCTAAACCCTCATCTGTGACTTTTTTGTTACCATAAACAGGAGTTGCCCAAGTGTTAGGGTCGTGAATGTTGAATAACTGTAGGAGTGTAGGCGATAAGGAAGGTTCCTTTAATGAGGTTATAGCCCTAAGACACATTGCCAACCCCTCAAGTGGCAGCCAAAATGGAATCTGGAAGATATGTGAGAATCTAATAGATACAATATATTCAAGTAGGCTTTCCTCTTGTTTTGGTAATTTATTCCTATAAAATATTTCTGTAAAATGGCTTCTATTTTATTGCAGAGTACACATCTTACTCTGTTAAATGCATACACGGACACATACACATACCTTCTCTTTTTCACATACACATGCACAAATACAACTGAACTTCAATATTTCACATTTTTAACTGCAGGACCTATATTTTTCCCCCTAGTTCCCAATATGTCCACCTAAACAGCAAGTAGGGAAAGTGGAAAAGGAACTAAAATTCATTCCTACATTTCCTGTAGTGGTAGTTTGGGAGCGATTATGGCTACAATGACCCATATGATCTGGTTCATTGCCTCTGTGCCTATTTTCACCTATTAATGCCAAAACAGAAAACTGATCTCTAGGATACCAGCATATCTAATTAAATGACTTTCTACCTGTAATTTAGTCCCATTCAGTCACATAATTTTCACTGAAGAAACTGAAGTATGTGTTTAGACTCTGACTGTATGTTTTAAGTAGTAGCATAATCTCCCTGCTAATGGCAAACATTACCACCTCTTTTATGCCTTCCTAAAGGACTTTTAAGAATTGTCACACTACTTTCAAAAAGAAAAAAACTGAAAGTGATCATTAAGCTGGAAAATTTCATCATCATTCTTTTTTGACCTACTATCTCCTAGATTCTCTGAACAGAAACAATAGCAACTGTTTTCACCATCAACTTTCTATTTCACAATGAATAATCTCATTCTTCTCACTTTTGCATTTTCTCTATAGAGACCATAGAGACAACTGGAACCAAATATGCCAAAAGGAGCTACCATTGTCATCACAATTTATAGGAAGAAGTAAACAGAGAATGGATTTTGTTTTACCCCTAATACATATGTTGGCTTGGGGCAAAGAAGTGGCTTTTTGCTTCCCATTCTATGGTTACCTTCTGAGGAAGATGATAGTAATCATCTTCTTACACTGATTCTTGCCACAACAATAACCTCTAGGTAGGAGGGAAGTTATAAAAAGAATAAGAAATTAAATAAAAAATAAGTTATAAGAGAAGGGAGAGAAATGGGAAAGCATTGAGAAGACCATGGTGAATAAAACAAACTTCCAATAGAATTTTTAAATAATAAAATGAGGCAGTCAAGAACAACTATCAAAACAATCTTGGAAGAAATTAACTTCTAGAAAACAGAAATGCCTAGAGTTGCATCAGTACTATGGCATTCTTTACCAGGAAGTCCAGAAGAAAATATTGAAGTCTCTATTAGTTGTTCTACTTCAATATGCAAGTTTACTTTAGTTGAGAAATCAGAAACATTAAGGAATATTTGCAAATAGTTGTGAATAGAAACCCAAAATGTATAAATAATTTTATAATGCCTTTTTCTACTCTCCTACTCTATTGAAATTTAAAAGCCAATACAATGTTTAAAAAAATTTTCATTCATATATATAACATAAGGGGCTCTATTTTCCTTATTCCTTGTCACGTATGGATAATAAATGAGGAGTTAAGGGTGATCCAACAGCTTTTTCTTCCATGCCACTACAATACTATTTACTAAAGTTACAAGTTATAGAGTTGTAAGTACATAGAAAAATGTGATAGCATCAGCAATCCTCTAATTTGAAGAGTTTTTTATTTCTTACCATGTCTTTTCCACCTATGACCTCTTATTGACATGCTGGTTACTGCATTTCTTGATATTCTAGAGGAAGTTGGTGTGATTTCAACTTGAATACACCTTGTACCCTCCTTATTAGATTTCATGGCACCTTGAGGCAATGAAGCCTTTACTGCATTAGCAACCTAAGAAGGAAACATATACTTTAAGATTGATATTAACAGATGTATTATTATACCCTTAAATAAAACAAGATGCTAACTTTTAACAGGTTTTAAAAAAGAATACTTTCTCCAAGGTATTTCATAAGATGATGCATAAATCCTCTAGAATAAGGAGTAAGAGCTCAGAAGGAAACTTATGGTTAAAAATAATACATAAGTGACAAAATTAAAAATTCCAAAATATTAAATTATATTTCCCAATGCCTAATGCTAACTAATAAATGCAGCTCTAGTATGTTAAGGAGAACATTCTTAGAAGTTAAAAAGACTATTACTCAGGTATCTAAAAATTTAGCCTAATGAAATTTTCAAATTTTATTATATACACATTTTCAAGTACAAAATTTTCCTAGTATAACAGAAGCATGAATCACTGAGTATTAATGACATATTAATGCACCATGAATGGCTACTTCTCAATTTGTAGTTCTAAATTGAGAAATTTTAAATTACAAAATTTACATAAGTGAGGCACCTACCAGCAATGGCTCTGGATATAATTCTAGCTGGGCTCTGTATATAATATCATCCAATGCTTTTTGAGCTAGATCCCATTCTCCATTATAACTGTAAAATTAAATGAAGAAAGTATAATTATCTTTAGTTAACTCTATATAATTAAACAAAATATAATGAGAAACTGTTTATCTTTACTGACGAAAATAATAGATCATATTAGCACATTGCTTAGCATTCCACCCTCCTTAAAAAAATATTTTTAAATCTTTGAATTTTTTTCAATTGTATCTGAAATCCTATTAATAACAAAGAAAATTTTATAGATGTACATTTCTTCTCTAAAGAACATTCCTATTTATAGAACAGATATCAAAAAAGCTAGGCAATCTCAAAGCATTTTATACTTTTTTTTTTTTACAAAACAAGTCAGAGCATAATAAATTATATACCTTAGAATAATGTTCAGAACACTTGATGGTCAAATTACTCCCACGGTTTTTAATGAGAATCTACAACTACTGTGGCTTGCAGTATCCTAAGTAGTTACTTCTTTGTATTCTGAGAGTCATTTAGAAGTGTACATGATTTATGTCACAAATATCAGAGAGATATTGGGAAAAAAGTGTGTGTGTATATTATTTTTCAAAGATATGGCCAAACTCTTCCTAAAAATTGGCTAAGTGATGAAAATGGACAGAGAAATAATGGCTTGGTCATCTGCCAACAAAATAAAGAAGTGTGAGTTACATCAAGAGTACAAGTGAGGCCTAAAAAAATGGAAAGAGCATTGCTCCCACCCTAAAAACAAGGTAAAGCCAGGTAATCTACAAAATCATAACTGTTCATGACTCCAGCAAGGAGCTATGGTCATAGGTCAACCAAGTAGCCTAAAACCTGAGAGCAGACAGGTGCCTCTAAGGAGAGATAGGCCACAATGCAAGTGGACAAGAAGAATTCAGCTAAACTTTTTAACAAATTACTAAAAGCCAAGTGTGGGCAAGCAGGAGAGTATAGAATCTCTGGGAGTAGATACAAGGGGAGCTCATATGCACTCACAAGTTCTACTTCACAAACCTTTAGGCACTCACAAGAAGAATGGGACAAGGCAGGGGACCAGAGCAACCAGAGAAAGCTGCCCTTGGTAGTGCAAGCCTGAAGAAGAGTGGCCACCCGAGCAGGAAAGGCATGAAAATCCAGCCACACCTTCTCTCACCTGGAACAGAAGTTTTAAAGCCTGTGGGGAAGGAGCAGCAAACCCTTTCACCCTGAGGGAAGAGATGAAGACAGATTGTGGCTGTGCGGGGAAAGAAAAAGAAAAAGAAACTTCTTCCTTTCAGGGAGGATCAGAAAATGGCCTTATGCTGAGACCAGTAGAGGTCTCTTACCACTGGAGGAGGGACAGGACCACTAAGAAGCTGCCCCCACCCATACTCCCCTGAGATGCAGGGACATAGGAGCTGCTTAGAACTGAGGCCAGACCAGGACAACAGAGAACACCACTTCCTCTTCCCCTGCCCTGCCCCAACCAGGCTGATACACATCTAGAAACAAGCAACAGCACTCTACCGCTGGAGGAGGGGCAAGAACACGGAGAGAGACTCTCTCTGAGGTGCAGACACACAGGGAAAGCTGAAAGCTGAGGATGAAGCAAGAGTATTAAGAAAAACCCTCCAGCAATCCAGCTCCCACCCTAAGTATCAGGTAACATGAGAGGAATTTGAAATAGGTAGTGCCGTGAAGGTAACCATAGCAACAATAAAATCCAATCCCAGCTCATTCCTGCCTATAATAACTCCACTAACAGCCTAGAAGAAAAAAGGCATGCCCATTTCCAGGCATAAATAATATTTACCTCAGTCTCTACTGTCCTATCCGTGAACAAAATGATGATCAATCAAATATTACAAGGCTCACAAAAAGCAAGAAGAAAACAACCCACTGTTAGTCTCTACAGTCCTACTCATAAACAAAATAATGATCAATGAAATATTATAAGGCTCACAAAAAGCAAGAAGAAAACAACCCACTGTCAAGAGACAAGGAACAATAGAACCAAATTCAGAGATGACTTAGATGTTGTAGTTATCATGGAAATTAAAATAACTATGATTAATATATTAAAGGCTCTAGCAGAAAAGATGAACAACATGTATGAACAGATGGAGATTTCAGCAGAGAGATGGGAACTACGAGAGAGTCAAATGAAAAGGCTAGACATAAAACATGGTGACAGAGATGAAGAACCCCTTCAGTGGGCTCATTAGTAGACTCACACAGTCAAGGAAAGAATGATTGAAACTGAAGATAGAGCAACAGAAATTACTCAATCTGAAACAAAAAGCAAAAAAAAGAGAAAATAAAATGGATCAGAGCATCCAAGAGCTGTGGAATAATATTAACAGTTTAACACAGGAATCAACAAACTTTTTCTTACACAGCTAGATAAATATATTAGGCTTGTGGGCCATATAGTCTCTATCTATCACAACTGCTCAACTCTGTCACTGTAGCACAAAAGCAGCCATAGACAATATGTACACAAATGCATGTGACTGTGTTTCAATAAAACTTTAAAAAAATCGGCAGCAGGCCAGACTTGGCCCAAAGATCATAAATTCTGTCTTCAGTCAAGAAGTTTATAATCTACTAGGGAAAATTAAAATATGAAGTGAATATAATGCAGAGTATAGTAAGATTTCTGTAGTAAGAGAATTACAAAGTAAAAGATAGGGTTCAAAGAAAAATACTAGTATCTAAAGCATTAAGACTGAGCATCAATATTAGAAATTAATAGCAAATTAATAATAATCTATTTGTGATCAAAGAGGCTCTAAGATGTTTTTCGAGAGAAAATTTCTAGAAATGGAAAAGATATTCATTGGAGAAAAAAAGCTATTTGGAAATTACAGAAAAAAAAAAAAGTAATGGAGAAAGGAATGTGAGTATATTTAGTTCCTTGAATTAAAGAAAGACGATGAAGTGTTTTAGTTGATTACAAATTCTTCAGAATGTTAAAAGGTATGTTTTAAATAGTAAAACTATCTTGATTAATATTCTTTCACAAAAATATTCTGATTTTTTATCTATTGAGATTATAATGTAATAACAATAAAACAGACTATAATTTTCCAAAGAAATCAAAGGTTTACTTTGTATATGAAATAAACTTACAAGGCAAAATAAATCCCTGTTAACATCTGTACCATGAATCCTGAAGAAACCGGTATCCTGCTACTTATACCTTTGTATTTTCTTACATGTTGCCGGGGATATCCACAAACACAGATTCTAGAAAGACCAAAATAAATACATTTGTTAAATTGGTAAAAATTTAGGTAATTTATTTTTTAGCATTTATAAGTCTACAATGTACTAGGTATGCTCTCATAACAAACCTAACAGCTATGAAATAAAGAATCTTTCCAAACAAAATATATGTCTGTAACATTTTCCTGAGTAAGTTAGACTGGGAAAAAATGTATAAAGCTAGAGGTGTGTTAATATATAGTAAGTGAATCAGATTCTCAGAGTTGGTTCACTAATTTTGGTCAATTCAATTATTAATAACTTTCAGTTACTGTAACACCTATTACATGGAACTGGGCACCATTTATCATAAATAAATCTGTGGCATGAACCTCTATTCCTGACAAAGTTCTTGTCACAAACTGTAGGCTCCAAAAAAATACTCTAAAATTAGACACAAACCTCATACAGTACACCTTAATAAATTTCAGATAGATTGAAATTTTTAATGTTAAAAAACCATAAGAGAAATAAAACATAAGCAAATAGTTATATATTCTTTGCATGCCTAAACATGACACTAAAGGTAGAATCCTAAAGAAAGGTCAATATATTTTACTAAATCTTTTAAAGAAACTACTATAAAGAAAATTGAAATGTAAAGAAGTATTTATTATAGTGAAGAATATTTAAAGAGTACTAAAGTTAAGGAGTATTTATTATAGTGAATAGGAAACCACCTAAAAATCCAACACAGGGGACCAATTATATAAATCATTCAGAGAATACTATGAAACAATTAAACAGGACATTCTGAAAGTCTATTTAAACGACAGAGGAAAAAACTGCGCAAAACGACACATGCAGCCTAATCCCATTTTATAATAAACAAATAGGTGAATGGTGTATGTCACTGCAAAAAGATCATATACAAAGTCATAGAGTTATCTCTGAGCTGTGGGATTACTGACTTATTTTTTTCTTTATATTTACATGTATTTTCTAAATTTTCTATGATCAACAGGTGCTGCTTTTAAAATAAACAGTAACTTGCTATTTTTATTTATTTATATTTTTTCCCCCCAAAGCCCCAGTAGATAGTTGTATGTCATAGTTGCACATTCTTCTAGTTGCTGTATGTGGGACGCGGCCTCAGCATGGCCGGAGAAGCGGTACGTCGGTGCACGCCTGGGATCCGAACCTGGGCCGCCAGCAGCGGAGCGTACGCACTTAACCGCTAAGCCACGGGGCCAGCCCCGAACTTGCTATTTTTAATAAAACTGGAAATATCTGTTTTCTCATAAATTTTGTGGTTGCTATAATACAACCCTTACTTAACATAGTGCTAGTCAATAGACTGTAATTCTTTACCCCTTCCACCCATGCAATTACTACTTGAAACTTAATATTTTCTCTACTCAATAAATCAAAGCCTTCACTTAAACATGCCCAAGTATACCATAAATCATTTCAAAAATATCTCCCTTAGGGTATCATTAATTCAATGCAACTTTAAAGAATAAATATAAATTCATTTGATATTGAGTGGATCTTAGAACTCTTTAGAACCAAGAGTAAAAGGGAGCAGGGATACTTATGGTCTGAATGTTTGTGTCCCCTGTAATTCATGTTGAAGCCTTAATCCCCCAATATGATGGTATTTGGAGGTGGGCCCTTGTGAGTAACTAGGTTTAGATGAGGTCACAAGGACCGGACCCCCATGATGGGATTAGTGCCCTTATAATAAGAGAAAGAAAGACTAGAGCTCGCTTTCTGCCATGTGAAGACACAGCAAGAAGACAGTCACGTGCAAGCCAGGAAGAGGGCCTTCACTAGGAACTGAATCAGCTGGCACCTTGACTGTGGATTTCCCTGCCTCCAGAACTGTGAGAAATAAATGCCTATTGTTTAAGCCACCCAGTCTATGGTATTTTGGTATAGCAGCTCGAGATGACTAAGGCAGAAACTGAGAAAAATTAGCTGTATATGAAATAAAACCAACTCAAATTTTGTTTTATATTACAAAAACTTATATCCAAACTAGATATAATATATTCTTTTTTTTTTTTTTTTTTTTGGTGAGGAAGATTAGCCCTGAGCTAACATCCAACGCTAACCTTCCTCTTTTTGCTGAGGAAGATCGGCCCTGGGCTAATATCCGTGCCCATCTTCCTCTACCTTATATGGGACGCCGCGAAAGCATAGCTTGATAAGCGGTGCGCTGGTGCGCGCCCAGGATCCGAACATGCAAACCCCAGCCGCCGAAGCGGAGTGCGCGCACCCAACCGCTGAGCCACTGGGCTGGCCCCTATAATATACTCTTATTATCTAAGGAAGCAGACTTAGAAAAATTTTATTTTCTTACACTTACACCTTTATGATAGGGATGGTAGTAAAGAATAGAGAACCAATATATGAAAGATAGGATTTTTCAATTATTTCATTTATTCATTCACTCAATACTTATTAAAGATTTATATTGCTGTCAGACAGTAGGGATATAGATGAAAGATGTAGTTCCCACAAGGATTCACAATCTAATCATGGATACTGTGTAGTAAACAAATATTTGCCATGAACAAGTTACAGAGGTGGCAAAAGGAGAGAGTGGTAAACTCTAGTGGAAGAAGTAGAAGGTCAGAGAAGGCTTCTCAGAAAGAGATTCCTTTGAATTGAGCCTTGAAGAAAAAGTGGTATTTTCCAGGTGAAAATATAGGAAAGGACAAAAGCAGAGAGGGGTGAAACAGCATGACATAGAGGAGACTAGAGAAATTTTAGTAGGATAGAATGCCAGGACACTAGAAAATAACAGAGAAGCTAGCTAGCTAGGGGTCAGATCATGGAGTATCTTATAACCTGCTAGGCTTGATCATGTAGGAATGGGAAGCAACTAAAAGTTTTTGTTTTGTTGTTTTAAGCAAGGGAGTTACATGACAAATTGGTCTTTTGGTAGTATCACTCAGGCTATACTGGCAGAGTTCATTGCAACTGGAGAGGAGAGTATCTAAATATCCCATGAGTGAGATGAAGGGGGCCTGAACTAAAGAAGTAATTGTGGGGAGAAGGAGGAAGGGTGGAATTGGAGTCACATCTAGGAAGTATAATCATGGGGTGAGACAGAAGGAATAAGAAGAGTGTATAATTATTCCTACATGTAGTTTGAATAGCTGGCTGGATGGCAGTGTCATTAAATGAATTTGGATAAATAAGACATAGTGTTTTGGAAGATGCTGAGTTTCAGATATGTTGATTTTTAGATATATGGTATAGATGTCACTTTTGTCTGTCATGTCCTCTCCCCAGACCCCCAATGTCTTCCATTAATAGCACCTCTGTCCCTCTTACCTTTAGGAACTAGTCTTCCTCTATATCATCAAGTATAATCATGTAATTATGGTGAGGCTGCCAATAAAATTATCTGTGACAGGAGATCACTACCCTAATATCTATTTTTCCCTTTTTCCTTTTAATAATATATATAAAGCACACTCCCCCCCACCACCAAACAATTTTAGCTAGAACAAGGGTTACCTGCTAAAGACCACATTTTCTAGCTTTCCTCGCATCTAAGTGTGACCGTGTGACTAGTTCTGCGCAAGGCTCTGTTAACTGAAGTGGTGCAACTTCTAGGTTGTACCCTCAAAAAGCAGCTGCATGCCTTCCACTCTCTCTTTCTCCATGCCAGCAGGATAGAAGGCAGATGTAATAGTAGTGATCCATCACCATACAGACAAGAGTAACACCCTAGGGAATGGCAGAATCCCAAGAAAGAAGGAGCCTGAACACCTTAGAAACACAGCCAATCCACTCCCAGACCATGTAGCAGCTTGGACTTTTATGTGAAAGAAAAATAAATATCTACTTTAAGTTACCATTATTTATCTCTGTTAAAACAACTAGGGGGGCCGGCCCCATGGCTTAGCTGCTAAGTGCTCACACTCCACTACTGGCGGCCGGGGTTTGGATCCCGGGCACACACCAATGCACTGCTTGTCCGGCCATGCTGAGGCGGCGTCCCACATACAGCAACTACAAGGATGTGCAACTATGACATACAACTATCTACTGGGGTTTTGGGGAGAAAAAGGGAAAAAAAGGAGGAGGATTGGCAATAGATGTTGGGTCAGGGCCGGTCTTCCTCAGCAAAAAGAGGAGGATTGGCATGGATGTTAGCTCAGGGCTGATCTTCCTCACAAAAAAAATAAAATAAAATAAAATAAAATAAAAATAAAACAGCTAGGCCAATATTTAAACTGATACAGTCTTCTTCCAATAACACTACCCAGCATGGCCCCAGAGGGGTTTGTAGAAGGCTCAGGCTGGCAAAGTCAGAGCCTTTTGCTGGATTGTTTTTCATAGCGAAGCTAGGAGAGATGTTCTTTCTTCTGAGTTCACTAAAGGTAGAAAATGTCAGCTTTTAGCTGCCTGTGGTCACTGTTCTTACCACATGGAAGAAGCCTATCATCAAAAAGAAAGTATAATGCCAACAGATGAAGAAGACGAGATGAGAGAAATGGGAGAGAATATCCTGACACATTTGAGCCTCTGGATCTAGTTGACCCTGAGGCCAATTCCATCCCTGCTCTTCCCAGGTACAGAAAGCCAATACATTTTCCCTTTGGTATAATCTAGTTTCAGGTAGACATCAATTAGTTGCAACAGAAAGAGTTCTAACTTTTACAAGGCATCTATGGGACATCTTGATAGAGATGGTTACTGGATTGGATATACAGGTTTAGAAATAAGGAAAGAATTATAGGGTTCAGGAAAGAGGATATAGTCAGAAAAATAAGCTGTTATACAATTTTTTAAACAACTTTGTCATAGCTCTAGGATGGTCAATCAACTTTTAAATTTACTTTAGGTAAGAACTAGAGAAACAATTCTCTCAAACACCAACACACTTGAAAGATCCACAAGGAAAATAAGACTCCAGGTTCTCTCATTTTCTCTACTAGCTACTCACAAGGAAATTAGCAGTCATCTATTAGAGGCTGAACTAAAACCGTTATTCAGAAATGCAAAGGGTTGGTGTCTTAGTA